AATCTTACTAAGCCAGTCTCCGGCTTAAATCCCTTAAGTGGCCTGTTATGGCTTGCAGCAAGAAGCTGAAACTCTAAGATAGCATACAAATATCCATAATGATCTGAACTCTCTCTTTTCTACCAGGTCTACCATACGTACCCTTTGTTTCAGCCATTAACATCTACCCACAGTTCCTTTATCGGGCATATTACCATATCTGTCTACCTTTGTATATGTTGTTTTCAACCTAAAAATGTCTTCTCCTCACCTTCTTCAAGCTTTGGTACAAATGTCACCTACTATGATAAGTCTTTCCTTGTAACACTCAATCATCCAATTAGATTTAGATGCCTCTCCACAAGATTTTATACCACCCTCCTATGATTTATACCATCCTCCTAGGATTCCTTACACACAGCTCTTTAATCATTAACTTTCCTGTCTCTCACTAGACTATGAGCATCTTTGTATCACCAACCATCAGAATAATGCCTAGCATGGAATAGGTGCTCAGTAAATGTTTGTTGCATAAATGAACTCCTTGTTCTCAACTTATCAGTTAAAATTAAAACATGATCTAATTACAAAACAACCAAATATTCAGGAAGTTATATAATAGCCAGAAAATTAACTTCTGATATGCCAAGTCCTTAATTTGACTCCACTACCTAAAGAACCAAAGGCTTCAGGAATAATACAGAAACACCTGGGTGGCTCAGTAAATTAAGCATCAAACTCTTCAGCTCAGGGTCATAGAATCGAGCCCTGCATCAGGTTCTATACTGAGTGTGGAGGCTGCTTAAGATTCTGTTTCCCTCTGTCACTCTCCGCTGTTATGCTCTCTCTCTCTAAACACACACACACACACACACACACACACACACACAGTCAAAATGCAAAAACATCTAAGAATGTTAAGCCACTCTACACCTTAGAGTGTGTGTGAGGGGTGTTAGTTCTACTTTAACAATAGCCTCTTTTAATGGTTAAGTCATTGCCTTACATATGTGGGATTCAAGACGCAGCTCCTTAATAATTCTAGAGCTCAACTAAATTTGACAAAATACATTCCATGACTGACACCAAATTACTGATCAATCTAAGATTCATGCTGCGTGATGACATGCTACAATCTGGGCCTAACCAAATAGTTACATAAAATACAAAGCTCTAGTACTAATGCATTATTCAAATGTGAGAAGTTCAAGAGAAGATTGCCTCCAGTAAAAAGAATCAAAATAAAAGGGTCACTGTGAGGATTCACAGATAAAGAAAACTGAAGTTCTATTACATTTTTATTAGTCTTTTTTTTAATTTTTTTAATGTTTATTCATTTTTTAGAGAGAGAGACAGAGAGACAGAGCATGAGTGGGGGAGGGGCAGAGAGAGAGAGGGAGACACAGAATCCAAAGCAGGCTCCAGGCTCTGAGCTAGCTGTCAGCACAGAGCCCAATGCAGGGCTCAAACTCATGAACTGTGAGATCATGAGCTGAGCCAAAGTCAGATACCCAACCGACTAAGCCATCTAGGCGCCCTACATTTTTATTTAATCTTAAACAACGGTCATTAAAGTCCTGAAATGTCACTTTGAAAAAATTCTAATACCCATCAAAAAGTTGAGATATAAAATAAAAGTAGTTCCTCCCTATAGAAAACACACCATCTTCTCCAGTTTTCCAGAACAATAAGAAACTAAATGAAAACAAGTGAATCACAAGCCCTATACTTCAATGAATCTAATATACTATAACTGTCATTATTTTTTCTATATAATGAATACTTTCATCTTAGCTAATACCATACAGACATGTTATTAACTTCCTTTTACTCCCAGATGAATTATCTTCAATATCAATCATTTGTGTGATCAGCACTATTCCCTTTCTCCCTGTATCACTGACCTCCTCCTCTCCCTAGTAACTTAGATTCAAATCAACTGCATTTCCTTTACCCTCTCTCTTTAGCAATCCAATAGTTCTTACTCTTCTATAGGTGACAGGTACCTTTGAGAAACTAATGAAAACTATGAGGCCCAGAAAAATGAATGTATCTACATATACTCAAATTTTTTCATACACTTTCAGGAGTTTAAGAACCCCTATCCACCACAATTACCTACACAAATAATTTCTATTACACATAGCTCTCTTTTATAATATCACACCACAACTCCTTTACTCACATATAATTAAGAACTACTAAGGTGATTAATAACATAATACTCAAAATAGTAAAATTTAGTCTAGGTAAAGCTTTTAGCTTACTGGCAATATTTTAAGAAGTGCAGATGAACTCCCTCCTAAAAGGCCTTAGAAGAACGTGTTGTGCACTTCAATATGACAGCTCAAAATAAGGAGTAAGGCATGTATTTAAAGAAAAAGAAAAATGTCTACCAAGTCCTTTTTGGTCAACGTGCTTGCCTTAAAATCTGCTGAAATGTCTTCCTAAATTTATTCTTATTACCTCTGATACATCTGCTTGTAAATACACCTAAGGCTCAAAAGATATGTTTGAGCAAAAGAGCAAGTTGTGACTGATACTAACAAATCCTGGATTCAAATACTTGTTCTAGTATGTCAAGCTGTGTTCAACACTGAACAGTGTTAGCTAGGAACTGAAAGTGATACCATCTCATAAAGATCTAGTTACCTTGTCAAAGTAAGTAAAACATAAAAGATGTAACAGGACAAATGACCAAAGGGAAGGGAAGAATATAATCACAGGGTTATTACTAACAGAAATAAGTGCTTTCTTGAAAGCATACTTCTCAAAAGTATGAAGTTCTTGCTGGATATACCAAACTACTCGTGGACATGGAGTTCACTTTTATTTTTGCTTAAACTTTTAATCACTGTTTAAATCACAGTTTAATACTGGGTGGGGGGAGGGGAAGGAAACATGATCACTCTTTTACCACAAACTGATAAATTTCAAAATAGTATCAGAATTTTTAAGTGTATTAAACTTGGGTGATACACTCACAAAACTTTTCTAAGTTTTATGATAGTGGGGGGCATCAATTAAACCCTTTAACCTTCAGCCCAGCATAGACAATTCACACAGGGCCATTTCCTCATCTGCAAATACTGGGTTAACAGGACATATCAAGTAAGCAAGTTCTTAATTTGCCTCAAGTTAGGGTGTAAGTGATGAAACTTTAAACTGGTTATTTTATTCTTCTCCACTGGGTTCCTCCCATTTAATGGAAAGCTCCATATTTCCTGAAATAACACCTTGACCATTGTTTTCCAATATGGACAATACAGAACTAAAAGGCAAATAGGAGGTGAGAGAGAAGTGCAATAGGTACATACCAAAGGATCTGATGCCATTAAGAAAGGGTTTAGTAATGTCACTGTCTCCTCCTCTATTATAAACTGAAAACTAGATGTGCAACATGTGCTTGTACTTCAAATTTGTACTAAGAACCTTCAAACAGAATATTTGCTGAATTTGTACAGGAAAACCATTTCCCGTCATGCCACCCAAATTAGAAAGTTTATTGATAAGTGTCTGCATAATATTTGCCACGGTTGGGAAAAATTTACTTTAGCCAATATATTTTGTTAATGTTACCAGTTTTTAAGTTTCCCTATTAAACCATTTTCATATAAACTAAAAAAAAAAAAGAAAAAAAAAGAGGAACCCTTTTAACTGATGAGTTGAGGAAACTCCAGTATTTCCCAACCTAATACCAGCCCCCATAGATTACATTCCTCTGCACATTCAGTCAGTGGCAGGAAATGGACTGCTACCACTGGTTCACACAGTTTGAGGACGATGAAACTTGTGCCGCCATAGGCTTACTGCTTTTGAGCATTCTTAATCAACTAGGTGGAAGTACTGTAATGACTCTGCTTATTATATGCACAACAGTTGGTGGTACCTCACCCAGCCTCGAACTCCCACGCTTCCCCCACTCTTAAAAAATGTTTCTTGGGAGAGCACATGAAGAAGCAAAGGGAAAAAGAGAACGTAGGCGACTCTTCCTTAGATTTCTGGTATAGTAGAAAGACTTGGAGCCTGCGTTGTATGTTTTTTCTTTAGGGTGGGATTGGTGTGCAAGTCTCTGGGTGGGCTCCCAAGTATTTGGACTGAAAAGAAGAGAGGTTCCCCTACCCGGACACTAAGCATTAAGAGTCAAACCCCAGCAACTGACAGAAGTGGGAAGGTACGGAATCGCGCAGATTAGCGCCCACAAGTCAGAGAAACAGACCCTACCAGTACTCGGGAGTCTCCCCAAGTTGGGGTGGGGCCTTTCTCCTTTGCGCACTGCCTCCCGGAATAAGAAGAGTGAGAAAGGGGTTAAATAGAAAAGGGGGTGCTCTTCCGCCCCCACGCCGTCTCCGCGCCTCGGCGTGGCCGCTCCTTTAGTGGTTCCCGGAGTAGCACTCCGAGGTCGCGGTTAGCCTTGGGAGGGGGCCCCGGGTCCCCTGGTGCGCAACAGCTGGAGTATCCCGGGGCTCTCGCCTTTCCCAAGGCTGGAGGGGACTGCAGGAGCACTCACCAATTTGGGTTTGTTTTTTGTTTCCTCTTCGTTGGCTGCTCGGTTCCCCGCGCTCCTCTTGTTGTTCCGGCCCCCACCGGGTTCCTCGCTGCCGCCTCCCGCTCCCGACGCCGCCGCCCCGGGCTGCTCCATTTTTCTCCGGCCCTATCACCTGTGCCTGTAACCCCACCTCCCCTCAACTTGGTGAAGCCCCTCGGGGTTGCCGGGCTGCCCTGGCTGATTAGGTATCACCGCTTCCTTGTGTGAGAGTGTGTCTGCCTGTGGAGCTGCCGATTTCAGGATCCCGGCTCCCAGGCACCCCCGACGAAACACGCAGTTGCCACTATTCGGCGCTAGGGCAAGCCCTGCCCCTGAGCAGCTGCAATAACCACGGTCGCTGGCGCCGACGCCCTCAGGGCGGTGTTGAGGGTGGAGGGAATGTAGGTGCCTATCTCTTTAAGAGGGCCTCAACACACGTGATTCATTAAAGTGCCCGCAGTCTGCCGCTGGGGCGCGGAAAGCTGCTTCCTACTCCTAGTGCTGAGCGGGCCCCAGCTACTGAGCATGCCCAGCGTAGCGACGGGAGCCAGAGGAAAGAAGAGGACTTTAAGCCGCGCTTAAGCACTGATTTCACTTCCTCGGGGCCTATCGTGTAATAGAAGGGAACTAGTCAACAGAAAGAAGGTATAGCCCATTTTAGAGATGGGGAAAATGAGGCCCTGAAGGATTCAAGTATGAGTTTCAGTGGCAGGACTACCTGAGTGTCAGCTTCCACTACTGTAGGCCAGAGCACCTTTCCCACAGAGGCCTTGCCAGGGTGTGGTCCTGCTAAACTCTGTGGGAGAGGTGGATTGGCAAAACAGCTGGCATCCTATAAGAAAACCACCACGTGGAGTGCTGATTAATTGTCCAGACAGACTGTATGGGTAAAAGTGGAAAGAGCGGGTGCTTTGTGTTGCCGTGATTGCTTTGCAACCAAAGAAATACAGTCCTTCCTTTATTCCCATGCTGCTAGGTAATAGAAGCAGCAGGTGTCCACTGGTTAATTAATCTTGGAGGTGTCTGGCGGGGGGTGGGGGTGGGGGCGATAAGGCTCTTTAACCAAAGCACTTCTAGAGAGCTAACAATTGGATTGAGTGCTATTTTCTGTTTCCTGAACTAGTTTAGGCTTAGGGTTGTGGTGGGGAGTAAGATCATGTGTGTCAAAGCAGTGTTTAAAATGTAAATCTCGAGACAAATGCTAGGTGTTTTGGTGCACCAGCAGGGTACTGTGAGTATTGTTAGTCTTTAGTGCTTGAATTGTCAGGAAGAGGCCCAGACTATATTCTTCCAACTTTTTAAAACAGGATCCTCTAAAATTAGTGTTCACACTGAGAACGTTATATAGGGGCTGAGCAAGATTTGAATGAACCACCATCACAGAATAAGAGCACATATGCTAGAGAAGCCTGAAATGTAATTCAGATACTAAGTCTATTAACATGTCCATATGCCTGTTATTCAGATAATCTTCGGGCTATGAATTCTTTTGCCCTCCTCTTCAGCTCTGCTGAATCTATTTATGAGCATATTTATTGAGAGTGCATTAGGATAAATTTGACCATGCTGTAAATGCGATGAGGCAATTAACTGGGACAGTAGCGTGAAAAGAACATATATCTAAAAACAGCTTTAATCCTGGCTTTGTCATTGTCATTAACTTTCTTTTTAATCACACAGGTGGTAAACTACCCAAATACAGCACAGAAGAGGAAATACATGCTCCTAGACAGGGTGGACAATGAACCCTAAGGTAAATTTGCTTTGTCAAAGTTTCTATCTTACTTAAAATTTGATGTATGTTTTCAATGGAATACTACATGGCAATGAGAAAGAATTAAATCTGGCCATTTGTAGCAACATGGATGGAACTTGAGGGTGTTATGCTGAGGGAAATAAGTCAGGAAGAGGACAGATGCCATATGTTTGCACGTATAGGAGGATTAGGAGGAACTTAATGGAGGACTACAGGGGAGAAGAAGGAGGGAAAATAGTGGGGGAGAGGGAGGGAGGCAAACCATGAGAGACTCTTGAATGCTGAGAACAAACTGAGGGCTGATGGGGGTGAGGGAGAGGGGAAGGGGCTGATGGGCATGGAGGAGGGCATCTGTTGGGATGAGCACTGGGTGTTATATGGAAACCAACTTGACAATAAACTATTTAAGAAAAAAAAATTTGATGTATATTTTGAATTTGACTCACCATACACACACGCACAGACACGTATGTGATTTAAATTACTTAAATGTTTCCCTTCTGAAAAATTGAGTAGAAACGCATGCTACAGAAAGACATGACCTGTTTTATCCGATGCTTTCATCCAATTCCTGTTTAAGAGCTGTGGATATGGGTGAGAATCCTCCAAGCTCAAATGTGGTTCAATAATCTCCATAGGTATTTATTAATCTTTATTTTAGAGTATACCACACATTGTACAGAGTGCCATGGGTTAGAAGGATAAAGTTGAGACACTTCCTGCCCTGAAGAACCTCACAGTCTACTGGGAGAGACAGACTGTTAAAGAACTGCACTTTAGTACAACAGATATGAACAGGGAGCCCATGCAGTGCATGAGGTAGATAAATCACCAGAATGTCAGGGATCTGGGACACCTTCCCAAAGACACTGATGTTTCAGCTCAGTCTTAAAAGTCTAATTAAAGTTAATAAGTATTTGTTGACAGTCTACTAAGTGTTAGGTACTGTGCTAGGCATTGTGGGTACATTAGTGAACAAGACAAATATGGCTTGCTCTTATAGAGCTTTCAGGGTATTGGGAAGCATATAAAAATGTGTTGAGTGATTACAAGGCAAAGAGAGTAAAGAATATTTCAGGCAAAGGAAATGACAATAGCACGTGCAGAGACCCTATGGTTAAGAAATTGGGGGTGTTTGGGGGCGCCTGGGTGGCTCAGTTAAGCGTCCAACTTCAGCCCAGGTCATGATCTCATGGCTCCTGGGTCCAAGCTCCACGTCTAGCTATGTGTTGACAGCGCAAAGCCTGAAGCTTGCTTTGGATTCTGTGTCTCCCTCTCTGCCCCTCCTGCTAATTCATTCTCTCTCTCTCTCTCTCTCTCTCTCTCTCTCTCTCTCTCTTTCTGTCTCAAAAATAAACAAACATAAAAAAAATTTTTTTTAATTGGGGCATTTGGGGGAGGCGGCTTCTGTTGAAAGAAGTAGAACAGATAAGCAGCTTCCAGATCATAAAGGACCTGTAGGTCTCACTGGTGTAGTTTTAAAAGGGAGAAGGTGTCATAATACAAATGGCTTCTATTTGGACTATATAAATAGACTTGAAGATAGAGTGACATTATTTTGAATATATTGTTGAGTTTCACTATCCTCAGGCCAGGTGCAGCTAACATTTGAAATCCAATTAGAGGTATGTGTAAAAGATACATCATCTTTACTACAAAAAAATGAAGAAGTCTGTTCCTGATAGGCTTACATTTGACTTTACTGTGATTATCTCAGCCATGTCTTAATTCTTTTTTTTTTTTTAATATTTTTATTTATTTCTAGGAGAGAGAGAGAGAGACAGCGTGAGCAGGGGAGGGTCAGAGAGAGAGAGAGACACAGACTCTGAAACAGGCTCCAGGCTCTAAGCTGGCAGTCAGCACAGAGCCCGACGCGGGGCTCGAACCCACGAACCGCGAGATCACGACCCAAGCGAAAGTCGGACGCCCAACCGACTAAGCCACCCAGGCGCCCCAAGCCATGTCTTAATTGTTGATGTTTGTTTTTTTAGCATTGTGCTTCAGTTAATGTAAACAATAATTAAACAAACACCCTTCCTTCTGGCATCAGGGTCATTGGGTATCTCTCGGAAGCTAACATATGAAAGATACCATTGTTGCCCTGCAAGGATTTGTCTACTGACTATGAACCAGACACCTCCTAAACTGCAGTCTTAGAGCTGATCTCACTGCACCTACATTCCTTTATTTTTACCTTCTTAGGATACACATATGGGTGGAGAGACATCTTTTCTATCATGTTGAAAAAAAGGAGGAGGCGACTAATGTCCGTTGGGATATCAAAAGTATATGTTAGGCCTACTGACCTCTGATCTCTCCCTCTGGCTTTTCATGAGGTTAGAAACCAGTTAACATTAAAAAGGGAGCCCTGGGAGAAAAGAAAGATAAAAGGCTACTAGGTTCTGTCTTTCTTCAAATTGACCTTAAAGTCATTTGTTACCCCAAAGGTTTCTAATGAGCCTCATAGTATTCCTCTTGCTTTCTGTGTCTCCCTTTTGCTGACTGTTCTAAACAGTCTGGATCATTAATAGAAAAATGAAAGGAAACATGGATTAGACAAAAATAAGAAATAATACCTTTTAGGGCCATGCAAAAAAATTTGTGATATGAAGTTTGCCTAAAAGTCAACAAGCATTTATTAAGCATATATATGTGCCAACACCAAAATAGATGTTGTGCAGAAATAAAAAGTACCAGACATTCTGCTATCATGTCATATATGTCTCCCTGAAGAATTTCTGTTCTGTAGATTTACCCAATAAAAAGAACAGGGCTTCTGGAGAAACATGGTTTGGGGAAGATCACTTAAATCCAATGCAACTTTATAATCAGAACACTAATAAAAATAATAACCATTCTAATAAAAACACTAACAAGGTTAAATCTCCACTGGCATTTGCTCCAGTATCACAACCCTCAGTGCTTGCTTGGTAGCCTTCACACTTCCTCCTTCCTGATGTGGATCCTCAAGGGCATTCACTTTTAGTAGATGCTATTTTCATCACAATTAAAAATCTAATTGAAGAGTACCCAATTTTTTAAAAATATATGAGTAAATGTCTTTGCAGCTTTGTTATCAGTCACAGCATCACCAGATAGTTTAATGTGAAAAATTGAGAGGTTTTTGAAACCACTAAACCAGTCAAACTAAAGGTGCAGTCTTTAGCAAGATTTTTCTTTTTTTTCTTAAAGTCTTCATATATTGCTAAGACTCCTGCTTAATTATGAAAAAGCTTGCTCCTCATTACCCCAAACTCAAAGTACTAAGAAAATTCACAGGTGAAACAACTGGACTTCCACCTTGTTTTATCTTCTATTTCCTACTTGCTAATGCACTATTAATGGTACTACAAGAACTTATAATGAAACAGACTCTGAAATATAAAATCTCTGCTGTCAATAGCTATAAAATCTACTTGAGAATACAAATAACAAATTTGTGAAACAGTAAGAGAAAATTAGCTGCCTAACTTGGACATACTGACTCTAAATTCAACATAACATGGCAAAAGGATGAGACTTGGTTGGGCCTAGAATATATGAAGTTTTCAAGAAGAAGGTAGAACTTGAGCTACCAGGGTATGAAGCAGAAATCAGACTTGAATAGCCAAAGCAAAGAAAGGAAGTAAAGAAAAGACAACCATATAGAATTGTCTGGAAACAATACTGACCACTAATGTTGAGGGGTCAGTGGGGCTTGAGTAGAATGGTGAGAACATAGATGTTGAATAATAGTAGGAAACATGGTTATCCCCATAGCATTTTCCCCAGCCTGTAAACATATTTGTATGTAAGACCTAGTGGTAGTAACTGATAAAGATCTTTAGCAGGAATGTTATAAAATAAAGAAGGAAGGAGCTGGTCTGTCAGTAGCATGCAGAATAACTTTGAAAAATGATTTTCAAACTTATTTTTCCTTAAGTACAGGATTTTTTTTCCAAATAAAACTCTTCACAGAACCCCACTAGATGCAACAGATACAAAACTTGGTGACCTGTTTGAAGTCACATGCGAGTGAAGACTATTGCCCTGCCCATGATCACCATATCTTTTTTATGGACATTTGTCCGTAAATAGTCAATGGACATTTGGCTGTTTCCGTAATTTGGATAATAATAATTGTAGATAATGCTCCTATAAACAACGGAGTTCATGTATCCATTTTTGTATTCTTTGGGTAAATACCTATTAGTACAATTGCTTGATTGTATGTAGTTCTATTTTTACACAGCAGTGGTGAGAGTGGACATCCCTGTCGTGTTCCTGATCTCAGGGGGAAAGCTCTCAGTTTTTCCCCGTTGAGGATGATGTTAGCTGAAGGCTTGTAATAGATGGTTTTTATGATGTTTAAGTAGGTTCCTTCTATCCCAACTTTCTCTAGAGTCTTTATTAAGAAGGGATGCTGTATTTTGTCAAATGCTTTTTCTGCATCTATCGACAGGATCATATCGTTTTTATCTTTTCTTTTGTTGATGTGATGTATCACATTGATTGACTTGTGAATGTTGAACCAGCCCTGTAACCCAGGAATGAATCCCACTTGATCTTGGTGGATAATTCTTTTTATGTGCTGTTGGATTCGACTTGCAAGTATCTTGTTGAGGCTTTTTGCATCCGTATTCATCAAGGATATTGGCCTGTAGTTCACTTTTTTAGCTGGATCTCTGTCTGGGTTGGGAATCAGAGTGATGCTGGCTTCATAAAATGAGTCTGGGAGTTTTCCTTCGCTTTCTATTTTTTGGAATAGCTTGAGAAGAATTGGTATAGAACTAATACCAATTCTTCTCAAACGTCTGGTGGAATTCCTCGGGGAAGCCATCTGGTCCTGGACTCTTTATTTGTTGGGAGATTTTTGATCACTGATTCGATTTCCTCACTAGTTATGGGTCTGTTCGGATTTCCTGTCTCTTCCCGTGTGAATTTTGGTAGTGGGTGTGCGTTTAGGAATTTGTCCATTTCTTCTAAGTTGTCCAATATGTAGTTCTATTTTTAACTCT